TACAGCACACTGGCTGGTGATCAGTATGACAAAGTCATTGTCCCACTCAACGATGGCGCCACCACCAAAACTACTCTCACTGGTAAACTCAAACCCAACTTCTCCTTTATTTCATAGTACTGAAATATTTTAGACAATTTCTATACAATATACAATATCTGACATAACCAAATTTCAGATATTATGATATATAAGATATAGAACCAATACTTGGTAAAAAAAAATAGTTTTATTCATAATAAAATTGTTTCTTTTAAATTCCATTTAAAATTCTTAACATTTTCAATAAAATTCAAATTGAAAATTTAAAATGTTTTAAAATTGTTTTATGTAAACACTGTTGCTTCAAAATTGAAAGATTAAAACGCTTTAAAATGTTTCTATTTATAATAAAACAGCATACCATCACACATTCACATTAATCCTAACATTTTAAATATATAAATATATAATGTATTTATATTGCTTTGTCAACTATAATGGTTTGAGGTCTTCATTTATTTTTATTGCTTTGTCACTACGAGTTGAGGTCTATGTTAAGTACATTATAAAGGCATTTATTTTCTCCAACATTTGTGATTTGTATGCGTAATCTTTTTGGTATTCTTAGGTATTCACACATAAAGTTTGTATATGCACTTTTGACTTTATGGCCAACTTTAAGACCCTGAATCCTCAGTCTAGGTTCACTGTCTACAACTACTCTTTCAAATTTGCAGGCATACAGACTTTTTTTCATTATTTAACAGCTTTTACGCAAGTAAGCAACATTACTGATTGTATTGAAGTCTCAGTGTCTCATTGTTTTTCATCTCATTATGAACTAATTGTGAGGGCCCACACATCTATATTTACCAAAAATGCATACTTATTTAGTGACAGCAAAATGTATTGCTTATGTGCATAACGTATTGCTCAATTTTAAAGTCACTGTCTATCTTTTACTAATTTTCTGTCTCTCCTTTTTAGATTTACTGCCTGGCACAGAGTATGGCATAGGAATTTCCGCAGTTCTAGGTGCCAACCAAAGCACCCCAGCTACGATGAATGCCAGAACGGGTAAGGGATAAGATTATAGGCCTGCCATTGCCAGATCACAGTGAAATAAATTTATTTTCAATTGCATGGAGTTTGTATTCCTGCTGCCGACTTGTGCAAATCTGTTTTTGCCAGCAGAACTGATATATGATGTTTGCAATGGAATAAAAACATGCTGAAGGTTTACTGAACCATACACCTTATTATTCCCATTACAAACCTTGAAACAGCCGCAGTTTACTCTGATCTTTAGGTCTGGATGTCCCCTTGGATTTGGCTGTCACAGCCTCCACAGATAACACCATCACCCTGTCGTGGGGCACAGTGCAGGGGTCTATTGATCACTATAGGGTGACCTACACTTCCTCCACTGGAGCCACAACTGAGCTGACGGTGCCCAAGGATGTCACCACCACCACACTGACAGGTCTAGAGCCAGGCACTGAGTACACCATTACAGTTGCAGCACAGAGAGGCAGGCAGAAGAGCACTGCAGCCACTATTGATGCCTTTACAGGTAATTTGATCTTTTGGGAAATCAAGTACAGGAATCACTGTTGAGTATCCAAAGCATTGCCTCATCTCCGCCTCGTGACATGTCATGTCAGTTTTGGCCAGAAATATTATTCATCTCTCCAATAACTGCATGAGGATTCAGAATGGTGTGGATGTAATGGTTCCTGTAGCTTTTTTTCCAGCAGGGTCATTTGTAGCCACTTTTAATCATTTTTCATCAAAATCCAGCCGTCCATCTGTCATTTACTTCAGGGGTTCCCAACATTTTTTTTTTCATCACAGTGAATGTATTTAATCATTTTGCATATCTTCCTTATGCATTTTTACAACATTTTGTCTTTATAACTCACATTTATATCTCTATTATAGCATTATCCACTTTACTGCATTAATTTTCCATGCTTTCTACCTAGTGATAAGATCATATAACTGATTGATAGTCCTAAAAAATGTATGGAATTAAAATGATCAAATAGAACATGTTTATAAGGATGCCAATCAATTGCATATAATGACATAATAAATTGCAGATAATATAACAATGCTTCCTAAAAAAAATAAAGATAAATCAGAAGACATTATTGTGGCAGATGAGTAAATTATTGTACAGACAAAACTTTTTTTTTTCGTATCATTGAACATAAGTCACAATCTGCAACCATAATCCATTTTGTAGCTAATTTTTGCCAACACATCTGAGGTAAAATTTTAGTGCTGTGTATATATATATATATATATATATATAT